ACCTCACTGAGCTTAGGTTATCAGAGCCTCTCAGTTTTTCAGGAGAGAGCTCTCTAAAGCTCTCCCCCCCGCGGCCGCTTACACAGTACATTTCAATGTTAATAAAAGCGCACAGAAGCTGTGTACATTTTTTGGGAGTTTGATTTATTTTAAATGAATACAAATACAAAATTAAAACCTATAATTGCACACTAAAACCATTATTTCAAAAAAAGAACAATTTCACATAAACCTCTGGTTTTTACTGGGACTGGGGCAGTTCAACTTGATTTGGGGGGGTGTGTGCCATAGTTTATGGGCACTGTACACAATATATGCGTAGTTCTGTTAGTATAAGATAATAAGATGTACTTTGTTGATCCAAAATCGGGAAATTGTGTTGTTATGAAATTTAAAAAATCTTTTTTTTTTATTTCTAACTTTTTTTCCTTTTTTTCTTTCGGCGCCCCCTATGGGTTGATGCGCCCTGAGCATTCGCCTATACTGCCTATGCCGAGGGCCGGCCCTGCTGTGATATTTGGATGGGGAAGGTTTGTGAATTGGGACAGATTATTTGGAGCATGGTTTGTCTACAACACATGGGTTTGCAAAGACTGACCCCTGGTGGTCCAATGAGGCAGTTTAAGGTTCAAACTGACTTGTTCAGTGCTTTGGACAGCTGAAGTGCATACAATGCACAAAAAAAGAAGATAACTCAGCCAATATGGTGGGCTTCTCAGGTGAGAAAACATAACAACTTGGGCTATGTCACGTGTTGGCTCATTAGAATATATACCGCCCCCCAGTTATGTATCTCCACATCTGAGAGCTACCTTTGCAAAGGTGTCCCATATTTTTCTCACAAGAAAATCAGAGCAGACTGGAAGAATAGAGTTTTTTTTAAATAGTAAAGTATGTAAACATGTTTTGGTGGAAACCAAAAAGACCAATATGAACCTGAAAATTTGCAATATATATCCCCTTTAATCCAAACATATCTGAGATAGCAACACAAACTAAACTAGATTTAACAAAGAAATGCTCTGATCTCAGAAAGCATCCCAGTCTTTCCCAGTTTTTAATATCATGTGGTCACCATGAGAGCAGCAGTCAATGCAAAGTACTCTAACATGCAGTAATTGCCACTGGATGCTTTGAGACAGACACCTGTGAACGCAATTTAAAAAGTCCTAATTTCACTCTAGCTATACCAAACACACATAACTTAAAAGGTATATGTTTTCAAGTTGCCCTTCATCTACTTTGTGTCTTTTAATATCTCTTGTTTGTATCACATCACGCACACAAAAACCAGAGCTCATTGTTAGTATAGTGTTAAAAATAAGTTAGCCAGTGGTTCTTCTGGAATGGAAAATTATTTATTTTCTAAAATGATTGTAGGGCCATCTGCTGGACAACCAGGTTCATTATTACAGGAGCACCATACCAGGGATAAATCCAGGAATATTTAGTAGCCTATTTTAAACATTCCTTCCACTCGTAGCATGCTGTGCTGATATTCTTTATGTTTTTCCATATTTTGGGTCAGTCATTGATTTACATCCTTCATTGTGTTGTTTTTTTTTACATTACATAGCATTTAGCTGACGCTTTTATTCAAAGGGCAATAAACCATAACAATTCAAACTAAGGACAACATGAACAGTGCTGACATATTTACTTCAAACAAGCAATATCATTCATATATTGTGTCTAACAATGTATTTGGAGGTCAAATTGTCACGGTGGGGTAAGGAAGGCAGGACCTTATGCAGGACAAAACAGGGGAGTAAGATATAAGGATATAAACAAAAGGCAAGCTTTATTAAATAAATGCTGCTACTTAATACATCAAAGACTGAAGGGGAAGGCAACGTTAAGCAAAATAAAAGTAGCAAACAAAATCATAAACAAACCGGGAAGACTTAGGAGACAAAGGAGGGCAGCCGAGAGGAATCCAAAACATGCAGACAAGACAGGGGCCCTTTCTCATTTCATCAAATCCCCCTCCTCGACTCCTCGGTCCTCCGGTAGTGACCCGGAAATGAATTTCAGCGCGCCATGTTGAAGGACATCTCATTTCTCTAAATGCACTTCGAGGACCGAGGATCGAGCGCCGAGGAGGCTCTCTGGAGGAGCTATAACCGAGGATACACTGATGGGTCCTCCACGGTCCTCCACGGTCCTCCACGGCTCCTTCGTGGATGCATTTCCGGCAACAGAGATGTTTCAAAGAATCGTGATGCACGGCCGGACTTATCTCAGCCAATGACAGCTCTGCATGCATCCCCTGGATATTATTTATTATTTTATTCCCCTCCTCGACTCCTATCCTCGACTCCTATCCTTGAGACTTGGTCCCGCCCACAGGAGATGCGAGCCGAGGAGCCGAGGAGGGGAACCGAGGAGAGAGGAGGGGAAGCAGCAGGCGGTTAGAGAAATGAGAACTCCTCTCCTCTGAGCGGTCATTATATATATATATATATATATATATATATATATATATATATATATATATATATATATATATATAGCCTATATATATATGTATATATTTATATAAATATATACAATTTCAGAATCAAACAGAGCACTCTCATAATAACGTAACACTATCAGAGACTGGATATATCCCCCCCCCCCCCCCTCTCTGGTCGCTACAATGAGGACAATAAATTACGGGCCAAAAGTTTTATTTACAAGTATTGAAAGTAAGCAGAGGACACCAAACCAACTGAGACCTGTCTGTTCGCTGCATCTACGCACACACTGTCGCACACGCACCTACAGCTAACAGCAACAGGCACCCACCCTCCTGTGGAGGATGTTCTCATGGCCCTGGTAACACTTAAAGGTAATGGCTTTTGTGGTGCTTTACTGTCCGCACACCAGCATCAATATTCGGCCTTATTCACAGCACCACCTGCCCTGCTGGAGGTTCACACTTTAACTTTTTTTTTTACCCTCCTCTGCCTTACACATCCTCCCACACTTGAGCACTCCTCACTCGGACTAAACCCCTCCATGCACCCAGACTGCACCCAGAGAACAGGCTGCTTCACAGCACTTTGCAAGCCAGGAAAAGTGATTGAATCCTGGGTATACATGTTTTAAATAGTCTGATACCTCCAGGGTGCATCACCACATTTTACAAGCCAGGGAAGGTGCCTGAATCCTGGGTAAACATTGTTTAATTGTTTAAGTGTTTTTGAATGTGTGAAAACAGTGTTTTGTCACTTTCAAAACTCTCCCGTCATTGCCCGGAGAAATTGGGTCGATGTTGTATTCAATCTGACCGTTAATATTCCAGTGAGACGAAGTACGTACAATGACCGGAGTGATCCCATGTTAATTTTGTCCCAATACCGGAGCATTCCTTAACCCTATTTAGTCTTGTCTCTTCCTGTGTTCAGTTTTGGTTCATTATTTGGCGTTCATGTCTCCCTTCATGTTGGTCACAGTCCCTTTTTGTTTGGATGCTACCTCGTGCCTTGTACCTATTCATGGATTCTTGTTTTTTCAGCATTTTGTGAATAAAGCTCGCCTTTTGTTCCATTTTGAAACCTGCTTCCCTCCTCATTCTGCATTTGGGTCCTATTTTTCCCCAACCCTGACAGAATGAACCAACCAAGAATGGACCCAGTAGACAGTTTGTACGAGGTGAAGTACAATTTAACATGCTTGAGGAATGACTTTAGATATGCCTCCAGTAGTGAAGAGAGGCAGTCAGTTATTTCTGCGGCACGCCAGGAGGTAACCTCAAGGCCCTGGTTGAGGGAGTTGCTACCCGAGTGGGTGGAGGACTTTTTTGGCAGCTTTGAGGTCAAACCTGTTTCCCGGCCTGCTAGCCCCTGGCATGCTAGCCCCCCCTTTTGTTTGGATGCTACCTCGTGCCTTGTACCTATTCATGGATTCTTGTTTTTTCAGCTTTTTGTGAATAAAGCTCGCCTTTTGTTCCATTTTGAAACCTGCTTCCCTCCTTATTCTGCATTTGGGTCCTATTTTTTCCCAACCCTGACAATAACATTAGTAAAGGAGTAGGAAAGATGAGTAGAAGAAACACAGTCCTGCATGTTGTAATGAAGCAAAGATACTTCAGAAAGGATGATGAAGATGAGATTAAATCTGAACTGAATGAATAAAGATCTCTTCTGAGGATTCTCATTTCTTATCAGTACTGCATCTGCACACACGTTCCTTGTCCTCTGGTGTGGTTGCCCTGCTGAGCTCACACTTTGATACAACTGTATTATCTTTTGTCACTATGATACTATGAGGACACAATAACATGATCAGGTGTGCCTATTACAATGAAAACAGCCCTGAAGTAAATCTTATTATAATCAAGCTTTGTTTTCACTTAGCTTGATTACACAGAGAAATATTAACAGGCTGAGAGACTGCCTGGCAGGACCTATAAATAGAGACTCAAAGTAGGAATATCTGCTGCTTGATTTTTAACCATAATTTTGTTTAATCTGTCACTTGAAAGTCAATATTAGAAGTGCAATACCTAATTACAATACTAACCCTTTAACAATAACACATGGATTAGTGCACCTTAAAAATGCCTGCTATTATGTTTGTCTTTCCTTAAAATAGTAGACTACCCTAAAATAGGCTAAATTTAACATGCGTTCAATTTAAAAAAACAATGCAAAGAAATGTTTGTGTTTTTCAAACATGGCACATACATTACCCATAATGCAGTCCTAGGCTAGAGTAGCTTTTAGCCTGCAGCAGAGATGACTAATTGGACTTCCTTACATCCACACCCTCAAAACTTCCCTGTGTATAAACTTGTAAAACAAACTTTTAATTAGTATATTTAGTAGCATGTTCCTGTTTATAGCGACAGCCAGACATCACATCAGTCCTCCTCTCCTGTTAATGCAGACGGTGACGGTCGTATTTAATGTCGTTTCCCCTTTAAAATATTTTTTGGAAGCGTCGATGCTGTTCTGTCCAGAGCTATGAGGAGGGGAGGAGACAGGGGGGTTAACTCAGAATGACAGATGCACAGGCAGATGATACCACACGTTTCCACCATGTAGACGCAGACTGACAGATGGACTCAGCTTCACATTCACACTTGAATCCAGCATGCTCTGACTGCACACACCGGCTGACGTGTTCGGAGATAAACAAAAACACTAACGCAGGTAAGCATGTCACTCAGTTGTGTGATCCTATTGCATCCTCTATTCTCCCCGCATCAATTATTAACGTCAGGTCTTTTTCGGGGATGAATTTTCGATCTTGCGGCGTCAGATTACATTGACAGTTATGGTGTTTTATTTTACAGATAGAGTAAAGCAGATAATGGTAAAGGTTTGCATGCCACGCAGTAGACAGCTGTAAACAAACTAGAGCAGACATGCGGCTGGCTTTCAGCACCAAGGACAGAACACCGGACGCTGCTGCGTAGGGAGAAACCAGATGCAGAACTGGCAACACAGCATACAGCTTCAATGCTCCCTCTGTGAATTAGAGTTAGGCAGTTATATTAGTTTATCGGCGAGAGGTTGTCTTAAGATTCAAAGCCAACATCTCAATCTATTTTGGGTTGAGCTGTGAGATTGCTTTTTTCTGTTTTCCTAGAAACCACAAGGTATGAGGTGGGTGTTTTCCTCTGTCAGACTTACATACTAATTTACAGTAGCTGTTTTGTCACCAGGAAGAGAATAACAATTAAATACATAATCTGTCATATTATCATAAGAGGTATGAGCTTTTAAAGATGTCCCAAATTCATTTCAAAGGGCTTCAGAACATTTGAAAACACTTTTCTATCGGTAATATGGAAAATCAGGATGATACTGTAAGGTGGATAGATGCAAACTGATAAGAATAATAAGGATCTTGAAATGTCTAGCAACTCCAAGTTGTCATCAAACAGGCACACAGCTAATCATGTGAGCTCTTGAGGTGCTCCAGATTTGTGCATCCGTAGGGTTTCTGCACTCATTATATTGACAAAACTACCTCTTCTGTCTCTGTCCACCACTAAACAGGTCAGTCTTGTGCAGGGAAAATATGTATCTGATAAAAACTGTTGATTCTTATCTCTGGCCATCCAGATAGGGTTTTTTATTTGTATCCAGGTATTTGGATATCAGAGACAGAGATTTATCTTGCAGTGCTTACATAATTGAATCATTAAAAAAGAGTTTACAGTCAATCTCTTTCTTGTTACTCTGGATAATTCACAGGTAGGTAAGAGTTTATGTAAATGGTGAAGGTATCAATATCAGAGGCAGTGGTGAAGAAAACATCCTAGTCTTGTCTTATTTGCATTTTTTTTTTTACCACTAAGGAGCTAAGGCTGCACTGAAAATAAGAATTCATCTTCATTAAGAAACCAACATCACTGAGCTCACAATTCCAGTTAGAGCAAGTTTTCAGCCTATGAAAATGAAGCATCTTAAAAGCTTTTTCATTATATCAGAACTAAATGGTACAACACCCCTTCAAATGAAAGAGCAACATTATGTTCTTCATGACTAGACCTGACCAGAAGGGAGAAACACTGTAAACATGAAGATTTTTCTTTAATTTGTCTTTATTTCTATTCAGTTTGCCAGTAAAATAATCCTAAACTATGATCTATGACCTTGTTAGCAGATGAGCTTATAAAACGTATTGTGTTCCCTTTATTTTGTTCACTATCTTGAATGAGGCTCCATCACTGTGGATCAGCTGTTTTGTATAGTTATTATCATTTACACAGCTTTCAGTCTGTTTAAGATCTAAATTGGAGATTCTCTAAATGATGTATGAATCTGCCACTGAAAATGAAAACCTGTCAGGCTCCATTTTCTGCTCTGTCATTTCCAAGGGCTGAAGCAGAGCTAGTCTTTGTTTCTGTGCTTACTTTCTTAATGCCAAAACCTGTTTCTTTTAAATTCCTAAAAATATTATCTTTAATCATGCTGCATTATATATGCTAAATAGATTCATCCAATGATCGAAACATGGTCTGTGACGCTTTTCTTTTACAGAAAATGGCTGCCGCAGGTATCCTCTTCACTTTGTGGATGGCCACAGTCTTTCCCACTGGACTCGGATGCCCTGCGCTCTGTTCCTGCACAGATAAATATGGCCGCCACTTTGCTGAATGCTCCTACAAAGACTTAGCTGAGGTACCGGACAGTTTGCCTGCTAATGTGACGACTGTGAGTCTGTCCGCTAACAAGATCAGTGTGATACCGTTGGGGAGCTTTGACAATGTCACTCGGGTGACGTCGCTGTGGATGGCCCACAATGAGATCATCACAATCGAAGAAGGGACTCTCACGCCTTTGGTTCATCTGCGTAACTTTGACATCAGCCACAATAGAATCGTAGACTTCCCTTGGGAGGATCTGCAGAACCTCACAGGCCTGCATCTGCTGAAGATGAACCACAACGAGATGGTCCACCTGCCGAGGGACGCCTTCTACAACCTCAAAGACCTGAAGTCACTCCGACTCAACAATAACAATTTCATTAAGATAATTGATGGGACGTTCGATGGTTTGGTGTCTTTGTCCTACTTGCAGGTTTATAAAAATCCTTTTGCATGCACCTGCTCCCTCGACTGGCTCAGAGACTGGATTTCAAAGACCATGATCACGGTCCCAGAGCAGAATTTAATCACTTGTGCAACTCCACCCAAACTTAGAGGAGAACTGATTGGAAAGTTGCCTGAGTCAAAGTGCGCAAGCCCGAATGTGACAATACAAATCAAGCCAAATGTTCACAACATGACTTTCCACGAGGGCGGTGTGTTGGTCTTGACTTGTGAATTCGCAGGAAATCCAAAACCTCTGGTCATGTGGAATATCCAAAGCAAAAGCCAGAGGCAAGAGCTGGTGTTGTCCTTCACTGAGGATGACTCAGCAGAATCGAAAGAGGACTCCATGCTGTCCTATAATCCTTTCAAAGTCTTTAACAATGGCACTCTTATAATTTCACACCTCCGGAAAGAAGATGGTGGCAACTACAGCTGCTCGGCCACAAATGAGTTTGGAAGAAGTGAGGTTTCGGTGTCAGTGGGCGTGGTGGCTTTACCTAAACCAACACCAAGAAAACCAATTACCACAACGCCTGTTTTTACTAAAACGCACCCATCGATACGCCAAACAACAGGCAAACCATTGTTTTTGGATTCTGTGCATCACTTTGATATCAAGAGAAAAGACTTCATTAAAGTAGTACCTACTTTCCCTCCCACTGTGGAGATCAAGTCTTCTGAGGAGTCAAAAACATCCCCATCACATGCTAGTAAATGTGGCTTGACTGCTAACACGAGATACATTTCTAGTCATGTCTTTAATGAGAGCGTGGAAGATTTCAAGCAGTACACATTTGACTTTGGAGTCATTGCATTAGGAGTGTCAGAAACAGAGGCAACAGTGCGACTCAATCCTCTTCTCATACCGAGAGACAGTGGCATCAACCAAGCCCCAAAAACGTCTAATGAGAGCTTCCACAATGACAGTGAAAAGCATCACAGCCTTTCTGCTGTCGGTAAAAACTCAAATGGCTTGTATCTGTGCGTTGCTGCTGATCTCAGACACTCGGCCGTGCAGTGGTCAAGAATCAAAGATGGCGTCAACACGTATATGTTTAGTGGTTTACGTCCCGACACCAACTACTCCCTGTGTCTGACGTACAGAGGGGAGGACTGTGAGGTCCAGGTTCTGTTCAGCACCAGGAGGAGGGTACCTAACCTGCTCATCATCATCTCCGTCAGCATCTGCCTCCTGACCGTGTCCACCGTGCCTCTCCTTGGTGCAACGTGCTTCCACCTGGTGTACAAATACCGCAGCAAGACCTACAAGCTGATCCTGAAGGCCAAAGATCAGTACCACATGGAGAGGAACCTCGCCCCTAACTTCAGGGGACCTCACACCGAGTCCCGGAGGAAGATTAATGGAAGCCAGCTGGACGAGGAGGAGGGGGACACGGAGAGCAGAGACGGGGACAAAGAGGCGGATACAGAAGAAAGTGTGATGACTGAGTCCTTTTCTCTGTCTCAGTGCAGGGGGAATTTAGACAACTGTGAGGTTGGGTCTGAGTTTAGTGATAGGTTACCTTTGGGAGCTGAAGCAGTACATATTACAAGCAACTACACTTATCCAAACCAGTAATTGTTATTATGTTATTGAATTATTTTGCCTTTGGGTAAAAAGCATTTTTAGTATTAGTTTGTGCCAAAGGTTTTAGTTAGCTTTAACCTTGCAAAGGCAGCACAGACATATTGTCTGAAAAGACTCAGATAAATGTACTTGTTTTACTTGCAGAGCTGCATCAATTAGTCACTACAGAGGCTTCCAGATTCAAGGCTCTATCTAATAAAGGATTATCTTATTTTACGTTATCTTGTCCGGGGATTTTTTCCAGACAAACATTTTAGTAAAAGCTGAACTACATACTGGCCCATATTTTTTGTAGCTGGAAATATCACATCTTTTTGTCCTATTCTTTCAAAATAGGCAACCTATTTCATCTCCCATGAAGTGCGTCTGGATCCAGATCTTTGCCAAAATACAAATAGTGATAGACAATCATTGGAGGCATGAACAAGATATGTTGTGTTTAAAGAATTACAATGGTAAGAAAACCTGAATCTTTTAGTACAACTATCTTTTAGTCTACCTATACCAAATATCTGTATAATCTGTTTGGATTTCCACTTGATAATAGAACAACTGGAAAATATAACCTCCAAGCTCTAAGTATGGAATAACACATTATTTATTTATTTTTGCAATAATTACACAATTTTTTTATTTAAAATGATTTTATAGAGTTTAAAATGTTTATTGATTTGCTTAAATAAATAGTCGAGTTGCTGTATTACGAGATCAGAACTGCGTCAATGACTATCTGTTATTTATAGCGGCGGCCTGCAATTAAGAAATAACATACTGTAAATCAGAATAGAGTTTTAAACAGTCATGTAATAATACACATGTGTATAAGTGAACATAAAGGCTTTATTGTTTATTTGTTTTAAATGAATTGCCAAAATGTTCTTTCCAGACAAAAACCCTGAAAAGTGTTTATTTGGCCTGAAAACAATCTTACAATTGTATCATTATAAACGAAAAACCTCTGATTGCTGCCAACATGGCACCAGGATGAGGCAAGGCAAGGCAAGTTTATTTATATAGCACTTTTCAACACAAGGCAATTCAAAGTGCTTTACAAAAAATGAAAGACATTAAGAAAATGGCATTTAAAATCATTAAAAAGAAAAGCTAATAAAATAAACATTAAAAGAAAAAATACATGGATAAAAGTTACAGTGCAGTCTAAGATATGAATAGTTCAATTAAACATTAAAGAAAAAGTACATGGATAAAAGTTACAGTGCAGTTTAAGATATGAATAGTTCAATTAAAAGCAGCGACAAAAAGAAAAGTCTTCAGCCTGGATTTAAAAGTAGTCAGAGTTGTAGCGGACCTGCAGGTTTCTGGGAGTTTGTTCCAGATATTTGGAGCATAATAACTGAACGCTGCTTTACCATGTTTAGTTCTGACTCTGGGGACAGAAAGCTGACCAGTCCCTGAAGACCTGAGAGATCTGGATGGTTCATAATTTAGCAGGAGGTCAGAAATGTATTTTGGGCCTAAACCATTCAGTGCTTTATAAACCAGCAGCAGTATTTTTGAAATCTATTCTTTGACACACAGGAAGCCAGTGTAAAGACTTCAGAACTGGAGTGATGTGATCCACTTTCTTAGTGTTAGTGAGGACTCCAGAAGCAGCGTTCTGAATCAGCTGCAGCTTCCTAATAGATTTTTTAGTGAGACCTGTGAAGACACCATTGCAGTAGTCGAGTCTACTGAAGATAAAAGCATGGACAAGTTTTTCCAAATCCTGCTGTGACATTAGTCTTTTAATCCTAGATATATTCTTTAGGTGATAGTAGGCTGATTTAGTAACTATTTTAATGTGACTGTTGAAACTCAGGTCAGAGTCCATGACTACACCTAGATTTCTGGCATTATCTGTTGTTTTGAACATTGCAGACTGAAGCTCAGCGCTAACTTTTATACGTTCTGACTTGGCTCCAAAAACCATTACCTCAGTTTTATCTTTGTTTAATTGGAGAAAGTTCTGACACATCCAGTCATTGATTTGTTCAATGCACTTACTCAGTGTTTGAATTGGAGCATAGTCTCCTGGTGAAATTGTTACGTACATTTGTGTGTCATCTGCATAGCTATGGTAACTTATTTTGTTGTTTTTCATTGTCTGAGCCAGTGGTAGCATGTAGATGTTAAAGAGAAGAGGCCCCAAGATGGAGCCTTGAGGAACCCCACATGTCATATTTGTCAACTCAGATGTGTATTTACCTATAGAAACAAAGTTGTTTCTGTCCTTTAAGTAGGATTCAAACCAATTTAGAACTGTTTTCGAAAGTCCCACCCAGTTTTCCAGTCGGTCTAGTAATATGCTGTGGTCAACAGTGTCAAACGCAGCACTGAGATCTAACAATACTAACACTGAAGTTCTGCCACTGTCTGTGTTTAAGTGGATGTCATTAAAGACCTTTGCAAGAGCAGTCTCAGTGCTGTGGTTTGGACGAAAGCCTGACTGGAACACATCGAAACAGTTATTTAAATGCAAGAAATTACTCAACTGTTGAAAAACAACTTTTTCAATGATTTTACCTAGAAATGGCAGGTTTGATATGGGCCTGTAATTGTTCATTACTGAAGCATCTAGATTATTCTTTTTTAAGAGCGGTATAATGACTGCAGTTTTCAGGGCCTGTGGAAAAATACCTGAGTGAAGAGATTTGTTTACTATATGAAGTAGATCTGAGGCCATGCAATGAAAAACATTTTTTTTAAATCCTGTTGGAATAATATCAAGGCAGCAGGAGGAGGATTTCAGAAGTTGAATAATGTCCTCTAGGTTTTTATCATTAATCTGATGGAATTGTGTCATGGTGTTTGAATTGATGTTAAGTGGACACAGAGACAACACATTTGCTGTTCCTGATGCAGAGGCACTGACTGCTTGTCTGATTTTCTGAATTTTGTCAGTGAAGAAGGAGGCAAAATCATTGCACGCCCTGGTGGATAGAAATTCAGAGGCTACTGACACTGGGGGATTAGTTAGTCTGTCGACGGTAGCAAATAAGGCACGTGCGTTGTTTTTGTTTTTGGTAATGATGTCAGAGAAGAACGATTGTCGTGCGTTTTTCAATTCCAAATTATAAAGGCCAAGTCTCTCTTTATAGATTTCAAAGTGAACCTGGAGATTTGTTTTTCGCCACCTGCGTTCAGCTTTTCGACATTCTCTTTTTTCTGTTTTCATGGTCATGGCCTTTCTCCATGGAGATATTTTCTTGCCAGACACTTCCTTTACCTTAGTTGGAGCAATGGCATCTATAACATTTTAATAATTTTTGAATTAAAATGATCTACTAGCTCATTTACTGAGATGTTAGCAGGGGCAAGTGTGGAAGAAAAATTCTGAGTAAACATTTCCCTAGTATTTTCAGTTAAATATCGCTTTGTGGTTACCTCTTTTTGAACATGTTTGTGAACAGAAATAGAGCTCTCAAAGAAAACACAGGAATGGTCAGAGAGTGCAACATCAGTCACCACAATCTTAGAGATATTCAGACCCTTTGAGATAATTAAGTCCAGAGTGTGCCCCTTATTGTGCGTGGGCTCCGTCACATGCTGAGTCAGTCCATAGCTATCAAGAACACAAAACAGTTCTTTAGCCCCTCTGTCCTGGGGGTTGTCAACATGGATGTTAAAATCACCAACAATGACTAGACGGTCAAAGTCAATACACACTATAGACAGCAGTTCAGTAAAGTCATCAAAAAAGCTTGCACAGTATTTGGGTGGTCTATAGATATTTAGGAACAGAGCTCGAGAGGAGCATTTCAGCTGAAGGGCCACATATTCCATACGATGTCTTCCTGCATTGAAGGGAATCATTGAACAGAATAGCAACTCCACCCCCTTTCTTATGCATTCTTTCCTGACTCATAAAACTAAAGTTGGGAGGTGTTGATTCGATAAGAACAGCTGCACTGTTATTTTGTTCAATCCAAGTTTCTGTTAAAAACATAAAATCGAGATTGTGCTCAGTGATAAAATCATTGATTAAAAATGTTTTTCCTGCCAAAGACCTGACATTTAATAAAGCTAGTTTAAGTTTGTTAAACACACTATCAGTCATGTTTTTTGTAACAAGCTGTGGCTGACATGGAATCACTGCTAAATTAGATAAACTCACACAAACGTTTGAGCGCTTCCTGTTTCTAAGATGATTCACCGCTCTTAATCTATTACCTATCAACACAGATATCGGCAAAGCTATAGGCAGGCAGGGCCCCGGCATGTCCTGGAAAGAGTTGAGAGTGCCATACGCCCTTGAGCCTGGACCCATCACATATCAGTAAGAGTTTGTTGTGTTTTGTACACACACATCCTTATCAGGCTTCGGAGACTGCAGATGCTTTCTTGAAGGGAGGGGAGGTGGTTGACGTAGGCACGGTGATGGAGACGGGGGAGATGGTGCGGGGGTAGAGGACATGCTGCCAGGGGGGGGAGGTGGTTGACGTAGGCACGGTGATGAAGACGGGGGATATGGTGCGCGTCTCTGCGGTGATTTTGGTGGGCGTCGTTGAGGAGCGGGGGTAAAGGACATGGTGCCAGCCCTGCGTATCGCCTTAGTTTGGTCAGCATCATGAGGGCTTTCTTCAGAGTGTAAAAATGTAACAAAGCTTGTGTCATAAATATAATGCATTGCAAACTGAAATCGACTAGATTTAGGCAGTAGTAAATGTGCTAACTGTAACTAAAATATGCCAATACTCTGTGCAGTAGTTTGGAGATGATTTATTTTGGCTTCATTGGATACATATTCTATCATAAGCTTTCAGCATAATGTAACTCAGATAGGCCAACAAGGAAAGCTCATTGTCTCATCTAGCCCATGACAAAAGACTTGGGCTAATCAAAGGTCATTTCAAATAGCTATCCGTTCACATAGCTTCGGTAAAGGCCAGAAAGAAGGGCAAAAGTTGCTATGCCAGCATTGGCAACAATTGCCTGCACTGCAAAACAAACCAAAATGAAACACAAACTGATCACAAAGAGAGTGACGATATAGGAGAAGAGTTTCAGAGATCTGGAGAAAATGTACTGATAGTTTAGCCTTCTGTGATCAACTCCTTCGATACAGCCATTAACAGCAATGGTTAGCATCATATTAAACTATCAACAAGTATATGTTTTTGTTGAGGTACAACATGGATTTAAACGTGCTAAAAGCTTGTTATGAAGTATTTGTCCAATAATGCCAAACTCCCTTCACCAGCTTTAGTCATCTCATGAGAGTTTAAACGTTTAGAAAAACTGTGTTGTTTCAAAGAGAAACACAATGTGTCCCAGAGCTATGAGCTTTTCAGTTGTACTGTGAGCAATTTCTATGAAGAAAAAAAATCGGTTTTCATGTTGAATACAAATTGGTGTTTGAAAAAAGCTTTCTATGTTGCTGGTAAATGTGGACAGCTCAGTATTATCCACCAAATGTACTGCAGTGTGTAACAATACGGGCACTTATGAGCGCCTCTGTGGAGTTATTGCCTTGTTGTATCTGGGTCATGTGTCCATCCTGTCGTATTTCCAAGAGTATTGTGTTAGGAGACCTGCATGCTGTCTG